TGAACTAAATAATAAAAAAATAGAATCAGAATATTATTTGATGAAAATTGTCTCTTTCTCAGCATTCCAAAGATAATTCTTAACAATAATAAAAATGCTAAAATAGCATCTTTTGTTGGTTGAGAAAATAATATATTCAATACTGGTCTTCTTGAACTATCAGTTCTCACTAAAATTATTTGCTATTCACCTTTAATACATAAAAAAAATGTAAAAGAACTTAAATTTAAACATGATCAAGGAGAATTTAATTATGACTACTATGTAACTTCTCAAGCTATTGATTATATTTCTAATTATAAAAACAAAGATACAAAACTAATGATTATTCACTTAACAGATACTGATAAATATGGTCACTATTATGGCTTTGGTTCACAAAAATATCTAAAGCAAATTAAAATTATGGATAATCAAATTGGTAATATTCTCAATGCTGTTAAACAAGCAAAATAGGAAGATGATATCTTAATAATTATGGTAACTAATCATGGTAAAATCGATAAAAAGCATGGAGGAGATAGCCCTGAAGAAACAAGTATATTTCTATCAATTTTTGGTCCAGGTATTAAACCAAATTTCATTATTAAAAGCAGTAAAATAAATAGTAAATTGTATAATATAAATAGCGCCGCAATTATTCTTGAAGCCTTAGGAGAAAAACTACCTAAATATTTTGATGCTAAATTACCTAATATTTCTTCTTTGTAATGTCTTCTTATTCTTATTCTTGTATAAAACTCTAAATTAATTTAATTAAACTTAATTAACTATATCTAATCTAACAAATAATTAGAAAAAAAAACAAAGAAAACTAAAAAAAAAAAAAAAAAGAAAAAAGATTTATTTTTAATTATATATAGTGCTTTTTCTTTGCTAAAATTATTAAAGTAGTATTAAGAATTCAATATACACTTCACATGCCTAAGTTTCTTATAATTTACAAAGCAGCAAATTTTGCATACATCATATAAAATTTCAAATTTACATGATTTATTTGCCAATATTTTACAGTATCTTTAATAATGATAACTAATAAAATGTTTATTTTTATCAAATTTAAAACAAACCAATTCAATAATTAAAATAAATACAACGAATATAATGTTTATATCAAACTCCAAATTTTTCTTAAAAAATATAATTCACAAGATGATTAATGATATCATTTCCACACATAATTGATAAAATATAATATACAAAAATGATTAAAACTAACAATCCATAAAATCAGAAGAAATTTAAATAAGATAAAGGAAACACATCTGTTCTCAGAAACTAATAAATCTATTTGCATATAGAAAGTGTTTTACCTGAAATTACGGAGAATGTACTAATTTTTTGTCTTTATAGTTAAAAATGGTGGTGAACGTTAATATTTATTGTGGGAATCCTAAATAGCATGATCCAATCTAATAGCTTTTACTAGATTAACAATATACAAATGAATAATAAATTTGTTTAATTATAAATTAACTATCATTGATTTCATGAAATGAAATTAAATCTATCTGTTCAGATAAGCGAATAATATTCTTATCTGTTTTGTCCATCACATATACATCAAGAGCCCCTTATTATGTATAAGTTTTAATTGGTTTCTACTCACAAAAAAATTATTGATTCTAAGCAAAATCATAATCATCCATATAATTTTCTTGAAAATTTTAAGGAACAGTTTTATATGGTGAAATTATTTTAGTATGTTTTATTATATT